TGGCCTCTCGCCGACCCGTGGACACTTCATCCCAAACTCCTCGGGAATGTCATACAGGGCTCGGATCGGAGCCATGTCCCCAGGGGTCAAATGCAAGGGATGGTCACGAATCAACAGCCAGCCCGCACGGGAAGTTCTACCTCCACTCTGGAAGGACCAACCTTGGCCTCCCCGACCTCCGCAGACCTCTCCAACTTTACCGCCTCAAATTCCCCAACCTCAGACTCATAGTTTGAGCCACTAGAACTGGAAGAACCAAAAGAAGAAGAAGAGGAACGGGAAGATGGGGAAGACATCTTACCGAACTTGAAGCCGTGGAATTAGAGCAAAAGCCGAGCAACGCCAACAAGCTCTTGCCGAGCTATCTAAGCAGTTCCTCTCGCAAATGGCGAAGGTGAAATGCCCTTCCTGCCCTTCTTATAACCCTTGAAAGCGCAAATCAAAGCCAGATCAATGGTGGACATCAAGCGCCGCTCTAACGAAGCTCAGGAAGACCAATCAACGTGACTGTCACTGCACGTGCGAGGCCTTGGGAACTAAAGCGACGTTCTTGACAAGAAATGGTAAAGGCATTAACTGCACCAGTCCACCCTGAAGCGCCAGTCTGACCAAATCTATGGACCTCCACGGTCCGCCCAAGACTGCCGGTCCAACCAACCCCTTGAGTCTCCTCATTACGCCCAATGACGGACCTCGACCAAAAGAGCCCTTGTTGTATCCCAACTGAGCACTCCTCTCATCGACTCTGGAATTGGGGAAGTGGTGTTCAAATTCTGAAGTTAGAATTCTCGAAGTTCCGTAACCGATGATCGAAGAACTCCTCAGCCACAACCCACATTGCGTGGACGACAAGCTACACCAAGATCCGAGGAATATGAAGTGGACAACGCACAACTAGGACTTCAACTTGTAGTTCCTCAGTCGAGAAACAAAGCACTCTGCCGTGCTACACCTAGGCCGAGCACTTCATCCTCGACTTCAAAACCGGGGGAGTGGTGTTCGGGTCATGGTTGAGCTGTCCTTAGATGACACGTGGCCACCCAATCATCGCTCGGTCACCCCAGCCACGTTAGCATGGCCCGGCCAACTCCACGGCATACACCGACTCCGCGGCTATGACTGCGCTACACTATTACCATAGCCCCCCATCTTATCCTCTCAGCCACGTCAGCTACACGTCATGAAGATAAACACGACCAAGGATAGGAGGAGGGATGAGGACAACTCCACTGGGTATAGGGCTCTATCCCAAAGACCTCGGCGGTTAACCTTATCTCGGCAACCCCAGAAGCCTAATCCGACCAGGACACAAACCTCCGACTATAAAAAGGTATATCCCACTCAAGGTAAGGGATTCAAACTTCTAGCACCCATATTGTTACTCTGCTCGGACCAGCACCCTTATTGCTTGGCCCGACCATCCACCACCTTCTACTGACTTAAGCATTAGAGTATCTACTCGGGGATAACTCCTTGGGCCTCTGACATCCTTTCCTGATCACATGTCTTGAAGCGCAGCTCTATCCTACCACCTCAGCTCCACCCTGTTGGCAAGGACTATCTGACTACCTCTCTCAGTTAATACACCACTTCGGATCGAGTAGCATCACAGAAGAATCCTAGAAGTACTCTATCATTCGGCTATTCTAATTTATCTACTAGTTTACTTTCCTAGTTATACCAATAGTTTGTTTCTTAGTTACATTAGAAGTGCTTCTCAGACGTTTCAGATTGGTCTACCTTCAAATCCATAATATGATCCTGCTCGGCAGGCGCCACCTCACATCTTACGTACATCGGATTTGAACAACCTTTAGAATCGCTCAGAATATAATGGCTTCAACCAAATTTGTATTGCCAATGAAACAGAGGTTTGGGTTTGGCTCATGTTGGTTCTTCCTCTTTCACATATAATGGTCTTAACCCTCTATTTCATGTTCCTTTTATCACTGAAAATTTGCTCTCCATTAATCAATTCACTCTACTCTACTCTACCCTATTGCACTAGTAAGGATGATAAACCAAAAGTAGAAGCCTAGATTAATGCGTGGTATGTAGTAGGAGATAACCTTTAGAATCCAACGAAATGGCGACCATGTTAGATTGTTAGTGACGCTACGCCCAATGCTCTTGCTAAACAAGCGGCAAAAGAGAAGTCTCCTTCACCAACCTCCAATATTCTGTGAGAGCTTGTGTAGTGATTTATTCCCCCAACCCTCTCAGTTTCACCAATTTCTTCTCTCGCCCCACTTCTTTGCAACATTTTGTGTTGGGTAATACAAAATTTTGAAAAATTATACAGTCTTAGCATTTACATAAAAACACACGCTATCACAAGAAGTAAAAGTGATACCCAATATTATATTAATAACTCAAAACATTTGTAATACAAAAATACTTTCTTTGACCAACCTAAAATATTAATTACAAGTAGAAATGGGCAATAATACCTAACACAATCTAAATTACTAATGTTAGGTTGAAATGCTCTCCCTAGGGCAAGGGCAAGGAGATTTAGTTCAGCATTAAAATCCTCAGGGCGTTGCAGTTAAAAAAAAAAAAAAAAGAAAAACAAAAAAAATTCCCAATGGCGGGAACTGATGAGACACATTGTAAAATTGATCTGTCGTTGTGAATCAAAGGCGCTGCCACATAGGTGCTTTATCAGCAAAGGCCTCATTATATGCATTCGTATGTATCGATGTTTGTAAAAGTAAACATTGATTTCTGTGCGCCTCTTTGAAATGAATAGTCATTTATTGGCACTTTGCTGATGTAATGTCTAATGATGCTTATGTGTCATAAACACCCTCTTAATTATTTTTGTCGGTTTCATAGCCACACAAGTAGAAAATGTTTATTCAATAAACATAAACGAAACCAAACACCCTCTAAATGAGATAAGATTTAGATAAGAAATGAAAAAAAAAAATGATATGATACAGCACGCCTTGCGCTACATAATTATATCTACAGAAAGGCTATRATTGCCATCTAACTAATTATATGACAGCCTAAAAACTTTCCATCAACTGATCTTAACATCACAAAGTATGGAAGATTTGAACGGCGTTAGAATGTCTTACTCCTACTCCACAACACACCATAGCAGCACATCTTTAATGGTATTTATTCAATATACCACTTTGGGAAGGTCCAAGTGGATGATGGTAGTTACATGATATGAATCAAGGTCTTTTCGTAAAAAACAACAATTTTCTAAATCGCTGGAGGTATGTAATTCTTATCAATGTTTTAAAAGACAATCCAGAACCGGAATCGTTATAGCCACCGATTTTTGGTCAATGGTTCGATCATCYGATTCGAATAGATAATATGTTTTGACAAAAAATTAAAAAATTTAAAATAAAATGGCCAAAAACTGTTGAACGGGTCAACGGTATGACCACCCGAGTCAACAGGTCGTTGACCGATTCAATAGATTTTTTGCCAGAGACCGTGTTTGGGGTAAAACAGAACCTATTGCAAAGATAGTTCTCAGGCCGAACGGTCCAACCGCCTAGGTCAATGATGGTTCGAAAACCATGATTCTTATCTTAATAGTTGTAGATTTTTAATTGGAGAGAACAACTAAGTAAGGGTGGAAACAAATTGAGTCTTTCACAAGTTATTTGAATTTACTTAGACTTGTTCACAAGCTGGGCTTCGGGCCAAACTTTACAATGTCTCAAGCTTGGGCTTCAAATCGGGCCCATTAGAATTTTGACAAAAGCCAAGCTCAAGCCCGGCGGCCCATGAACAGGTCTAAATTTAGTTCATGAAAAGCTCGATTCAGCTTGGCCTAAATCGAGCTGAGCTCGAGTCTAATATAACTTGGCTTGTTAAGGCTTGTGAGTCTAGTCAAGCTATATATATATATATATACTAGGTTTTTATAATTCTCAAATTTTTTATATGTAAAATAAAAATATTATTTTTTTATATTTATAATTTTTTTTTAATTTTATAGGAAGCTTGGCTCACATTTGAACTTGCACTTACCAACTTTTGAGTCAAGCCAAACTCGAGCTCAAACCAAGCTCAAACTCGATCCTCATGACTTTTTGGTATGGTCGAACTTGAATAGACAAATATTCAGCTAGCTCGGCTCAAATATATTATATTTTGAAGCCTTATCTACAAGTTATACTATTAAAATTCAGAGTCATGCATTCATTAATATATGTTAAAACCTCATATGTTCTTAGTTTTCATTGGTTTATATTTCATAAAGTGCATACTCATGTTTTATAAAGTATATTTATAATCCATACTTTAACAACATTAACTATGATATATCAGTTTGTCTTTTTGTTGTCTACTGCAATTGATACTTAGTAGATTTTTTCTTTACAAAAAATTAAACACCAATTACAAATTAGAACTTAAGTATATATACATTTCCCCAAAAAGAACTTAAATATTTACCTCCGGAAATTTGATGGCCATATACATGCACAAACTGTGAAATTTGATGGCCGTATACATCCACTCCTGAAATTTGTTTTACAGAATTATAGTTCCTTGTTGAAAAAAGGGCGTGGTTATATTCGAAAACCATACCACCACTTCTTAAAAATGAAAATATAGGTAATGAACCACAGAACCGGGGCTCGGATCTGCTACACACAAGTTGTTTCCACACACCTACCCACCCACGTGTAATTACAGCTACACATTGGGAATATCTCCATTATCATTCATGGGGAGATATTTCCAATACACAGTGGTGGTGTTCGATGGATATGAATATTGGAACAATTTGTGGGTAGCAGATCTGGAGTGTATGAACCATCAAAAATGCATTTTGGAGTCCAAATCTCCTCCAACGTTCCAACATGATGTATTTGCACATCTCATACATGTATGATGGGTATCAATCTTGTGGTGAGATATATATCATGTTGGAATAGTGTTAGGAACAGTTTTAAGTTGGGGATAGTTGTGCTTTTGCCTTTTTGAACTCAATAACACATTGTCATCACACATAAAGAAGCAACTCATCTATCACCATTCAACTTTGACACACAGCAGCACTTCAAAAGGCCATCTTCCATAATGTTCAAAAAAATGATGTTAGTTCTAGAACCAGCAACAAAATAAAAACATAGAACGCTGGTTGCTGGTTGTGTTGATGAACTAGGTGGAACACCAACACAGCCACAAATATAACACCCACTACCCACTAATAGAAATACCAATCCAGTCTAACACACAAAAAGAAAAAAGAAAAAAATCCATAAAAGAATCCAAAAAGCCAGCTAACCCCAAAGAACAAGGAACAGTATTCACCCCTTTCCGAAAATTGATCATAAGCGGAGTAGCAACTTTCTCATCTGAGCCGATCTCAATATCATGAGACTGTGAAGTTCTTCAAGATGAGTAATGTAATCATTCACATTTCTGCTCGATTCTCCAGACATGTATGTTTCAAAACTTCTTCTCAGCATTTCTAAGGTACTTCTCCTAACATCATAATCCATTCTTCCAAACATTTCAACAGATTCAACAAAATACCCATCAAATATCCTTCTAACTTCACTCCCACCTCTGATGGTTGATGCAACCATATGACCGAGAGAATTGTTTATAATAGCGACAACATCTGCACAAGGAAAATTAACTTGAAAAGAAGAATGCCATTGAAATTGGAGTGGACCGAGTGGGGCTGCTTGGACTTTGGTTGGGCAATAGGTATAGGTAGGGGTCAATGCTAATTGAGTTGCAGCCCTCTTCAACCTGTGTGAGATTGCAAACTTAAAGGTTCTACAGTCGCCTAAATGGAAAGGCTCATCACATCTTGTCCCATTTCCTCTCTTATTATTGTAACCAGGATAGTCATCTTGCTTAAACTCAACACACTCAATCAATGCCAAAGAATGTCGTGAACCAAGTTGTTCAAGATTCCAATGGCAATATGGAGCCTTGGTTTTGTGATTGACATGAATTTCCCCGTAGGGCCGAAGCATACTACTTGCATTTCTGAAAAAACCCTGTACCAAACTCCTATGCAGACTGTACACATTACAGAGAAAGGTTAGCACTCAGTAGAACATGATTTCAGAAACTAAAGAGGTGGGTCACAAAAGGCTTATTCTTCCTCAACTTGATAGATGGTTTGTGAAAATCCCATGCGAATTCAATCAAGTCTCGTCCCAAATCCCAACTACATGAATCTCTCTCTCTCTCTCTCTCTCTCTCTCTCTCTCTCTCTCTCTCTGTTCCTTCTCTGGGCTTTAGAAGGCAGATTAGGCAGTGGACTGGTCGGCTATGGTGCTTCTCACTTTGTGTTAAAAATGAGCAGTTGTAAATAATATACTAACATAAAAGAAAATCTGTGACAGATCATGTAAATCAAACAAGAGACAAGCATATTCATGGAATAAACGTTGAGACGGTAGAAGTTACAAATGACGCTTACTTGATAAGTTGGATATCCTCCTCCTTTCCATGGAAACCTGCATGAGGAAAGTTAAAGATAATCCTATCGAATTTCCTCATTCGCAAATCTGTATGAAATTTCATTCGGGTCGCATCCACTCCATGCAAAAGAGTTGCTCCCAGCTTCTCCAACTGTTCCAAATTTGATTTCGCGTCTTTGTACTTCTTAACCAATGTGCCTGGTTGAGAGGAGAGTTTACACGATGTCCCGTAAGAACTTCACTCAAAACAGGTGAAGCACCATAGTTGATTGATAAACCTTTTAATTTTACTAAATGCACACTCAACCATTTTCAATAAAAGAAAATGATAGAACCTCCATTACTTTTACTCACATCCCAACGCATTGTTAAATAGTAAGAAATTGAACTAAACAATCAATGAAAAGCCCATCCAAATCGTCAATAACCAATAGTTCACTCGTTGATTTTCCTTAACTGGGAAAATGGTTTAGATAGATATTCGAATGAAAAAATTAAAAATCCCCAGAAACGTTCGAGGGGTTTTCTTTTCCAAGTCATCCACCAATACGAAGACGATAGGTTGTTACAAGAAAAGCAATTACAACAAATGAAAAACAGAGAAAGGGAAAAGAAGGAAAGAGATGTGATAATGGTTTCGATCACCAGTGGCAGAAAACTGAAGTGAAATTATAATATTGAATGTTAAATATGAAAATGTCTAATTAATAAAAGAAAACAATTAATCTATCGTTACAAAAGCCAGAAATGCAAAAACGTTGATCGGATGCGAAAGTTTGGTCACCATTAATATTACCAGATTGACAGTAGATGGATATGTAACAATGATAGAGTGCGACATTCATTTCATTCACAGATATACATGCGACTACAAACTTCTCCTGGAATGATATGAGAATGATATTTTTCGTGCAGGCGAAGGAGAGACAGAGAGAGAAAGAGAGAATGATATTTTTCGTGCAGGCGAAGGCGAGAGAGAGAGAGAGAGAGAGAGGGGGAGAGAGAGAACATACCATAGGTATCGAGAGAAGAAGCGACGATGTTAGACGCAGAACCAAAAGATCGCGCCAAACTCGAGGAAAAAGAGAAGTCTCCCTCACCAACTAAGAGGATTTGATGAAACGACGAGTAATATTTAACCCAGACCACTGTTTCTTCAATTTCCCCTGCTCCATCTTGATTCACCGCCATTAAATTTTTCATTTTGCTTTCTACTCTACTCTGAGACTCTCAACCTCTCACAGCTCCATTCATTCAGAGGAAACGAGTCGAAAAAGAGAGCGCGGTTTGTTTGGAGTGCGTCGATGTCAAATCTTATAGGGTAGTGGGTAGAGGCTAGTGGGAAGCGAATTCAATTCTAATACAAGGGCCCCTGAGATTCTTCCGAATTACAAATATGCCATTAGCGTAGATCATGTTCACGATCTGATCATGTCGTCTTCCTACTCCTACAGTCTGAACTCCCTCTCGCCACTCCCCTCCCCACCCCCACGGAGAGAGCAAAGAAATTGAATCGTCAACCGCAATCTCGATAGCAATTTTCACTTTTCATTGAGAGCGTTACTAATAACAAATAAGGAATCATGGGAGATTGGAGTTAGAAATAAGAATGAATGGTCTCAGACTTTTTATAAGATTTCCATCTTTGTTAAAGAAGACTTATGACCGACACGCGACCCCATCAGACATCAGGTCATCAGCGAGAGAAGAAACAGCCTTGATCTTTGATCTTTCTTCAAATAGCTTCCTATAGTCTTATGAGTTGTGTCAGTCAACCTCAACCATGTTTCTTTGAGGTACAAGCAAAGTCACCTCAAGTCTCAACACAGACAACCACGACCTAAGACCTTTCACCTTTTCGCACTGGGAAGATGTATATTATATTTTTTAAAATTCTTTGTCAACATTTCCCTTAAATTCATCACGACTTTTCAAAATGTCTAAAACTCACAATGTGAGTAAAATTTTATTTTTCCAAAACTCACCTTCCGTTGGTACACCATTAATACTTCTTAATAGAGGTGTCCATGTCAGCATAAATAACAATTTTCGTGTTCAAATTACCCTTGAATAGCCAGTTAGAGGAAAATTGGTCTTTTTTTGTTTTCAATTTTTTTTTTTGCATTTTTAGTATTTTGTTATAATTTTTAATGTTTTTTTATAATTTCTGTTTTTTTTTATTTTCTATTTTCTACAATCTATAAATTTTCCTGTACGTTTTGTTATTTGTTTGTAATTTCTGTGTTTTCTATAATTTTTGGTGTTTTTTCTACAATTTTTTTTTATTTTGTTTCTCAATTTCTATAGTTTCTATAATTTGAAAATATTTTTTTATATTTTTTATAATTTCTATGTTTTTATGTATTTTATATTTGAAAATACTTTTTGAAATTTTCATTTTTTCATGTCTAAATATTAAAATGGTAATATATTAACACCCATTAGTTTGTTTAACGTCAAGTTAGTGATATGGTGAGTTTTAGACATTTTGAAAAGTTGTGAGTTTAAGAGAAATGCTGAAAAATCATGGTGAGTTTTGGACAATTTCCCTTATATTAATATATACACCAAGCAACCAATAAGATAAGTATAATGAATGTATTAATGACATGCACATCTGATGTACATGTATAGAAGATTAACCAAAAAAATGGTTTTTCTATTGATAAAAAAATAAAATCTAGAAGATTAACCAAAAAATTTAAACTTGGTCATATGAAATAATTCTAATATTTTAACAATTACGCATTTTCTATCCATGGAAATGAGGGATTGTACATATCTCCCCATAAAAACAAAAAGTATGTTAAATTTATAGGAAAATGGTGTGAGACCCAATTAGTTACACCTTTGACCTCGTCGGACTACTGCAAAGAAACTTTTAAGGTTTTCTGTGGAGCCTACTTCCTCGTTGGGTGATCACTATATGATCTAGACCGCTACCTAAACTGCATCGAACTAGATAAAAATTGGCGGTTAGCTCTGGTTTGGCCTTAAAACGGTATAGTTTAATTTTAAAAATCAAATCAAATCGTAAATCTGAATTATAATGTATAGGATTTTTTTCTCTAGTGAGTCTTGAATTTTGGATTATTAGTTATGTGTATCACATGACATTACGTGCGACTTAAGACTTATGAAAATGTCAAAATTGCCCTTAGAAATACAATATTGTTTATCATCTTCTTGCTCAAGAAGATAAAACAAACCCAAGCTCTCTCTCACAAACACCAAAACCCGCCTACAAAAAGCAAAGAATTTTGGGACACCAAAGTTATCAAAACTCAAGCCCCTTGTTGATCAAAATGATTAACAGTCCCCAAAGACCATTTTCCTTCGGAAGGTGGATCGAAATTTCTATCCAGTCCCCACCGTCCAAATATAGAAAAGAAAGCCATTAGAAATTTGCATACAATGATCATTTCTGATTCAATGAATATGTTTGATAATTTTTATTTAAAGTAACATTAACTGTTTCTAGCATATAAGGGTAACTTTTTGCCCTTCATATCAATAAAATAATATTTTCATATAATAACCAAAACGGAATAGCTTTTTTGGGAAAATATCAAACAAGGGCAGTGGGCACTGTTGCTCGTCTTCCTCCTCTATCTTTGTTTTCATGCAAATGGAACTTTTAAAGAACGATGAGAGAAAACAAGAATCCTGGTGATAAATTGTTGAGTTTTTCTCACGTGTACAGTCGGAAAAAACGACAGCTCGTATTTCCAGTAGGACTCCAACAACCTTTGCAATACAAATGATAACGAGCAGCAAAAAAAATCTTTTTCCAGCATCATATTTCCGACAGCTCATTGGATTGTAGAATGACCGGTAGCTCATTGCAATTCAACCTTTCCGTTATGTGAGTAGTAAGGCAGGTAAAGGGGTTCTTCTCTCGTTCTCTTTTGCAGCTTGATCACAAGTTTCTCACGAGTCCGTTTGCCAAAGTTCTTTGGGTTTCTAGTTAAAGTTCTGATCGCATGAATACAAAAGAGGAGGAAGACAAGCAACAGTACCCAATGCCTTTATTTGATATTTTTTTCAAAAAAGCTATCTCATTTTGGTTATTATATAAAAAAATGTTATTTTTATTGGCTAGAAGCCCTAACATCAATCATCTATTAGAGTCGACATTTTAAAAGTAAAAACAACCCATTAGAGAAAGGCTACAAAAGCAAAGCCAAAACAACATGCCTATAGCCTTTCTCTCACAAAACCCACAAGACAACACAAACTTACTAAGCTATTAAAGTACTAACATCTTCCTACAGCTACTAAACTATTACTACAACTAGTCTATATACTTAAAGAATTGGGAGGGTGTACGACAACATTGTGAGGTTGACACATATTTTTTGTTCTCTAAATTATTGGCACATGTTTCTCTCTCTCTCTCTCCCTTCTTTTCTTTTTCTCTTTTTTCTCCCACCTCTCTTTGTCTGGAAAATTATAAGAATGCCACATATAAAACAAACATCCTTATATAATTGCCTCTATAATATTCAAAAATTATAATAATGTCACATATAAGATAAATCTCCTTATATAATTGACTAAAGGGCATTTGAAAATTACAATAGTGCTACATACAATTATTTACGATTATGACATCCTATAAATAAAACGCCATTCCTCTTCTTTTTCAACTTTTTCTCTCTCTTCCTATTTTCTATTTTAACTTTTATTTATTCATTTATTTATTTTATTATTACTATCTAAACATTTATTTATTTAATAAAATTAAATAAATTATTTATTATAATAAAATAAATTGGTAGAATAAAAGAGATGTGACATTAAGAGATAGATTTCAATAAACATTTATTTATTTATTTTACTAAATTATTTATATATTTAGAAATAATTTACTAACAAATTATTCTCTCCCCTTGAGCCCAATATTTAGTGTTGTCAACAAGTATGGTTCGAGATAGCCTATACCAGTCCCACCCCAATAGACTTTTATTTATTTATTTATTTTATTTAAGAAAAACTAGGGTTGAACCAATGGGTTGGGTCTATCCTAATGGAGCTAAATTGACTAAACATAATTATAATAGTTTTGGTTCCATGATTTTGTCTTGATTAATTGTTGGATTGGTTCTCATTCTTACTTGTCTAGAATTGATTCTGGTCTGAAACCAAACATTTTATGAAATATATAACTTTTTATCTTTCTTGTATTTTTTACGGAAAAGAAAGGACAGGCCCAATGCATATTTCTAAATTCCACTACAGATCTATAAACATTCAAAATGTCAAAAACCCCCACTCTATACACCAATGTTTGCCCGTGAATTGGCATCAATTCCGAGTTGGCACCTACCCCAATTGTACTTTGGGCCTAAAAATTCTGACCCTGGGTTGAACCGTCATTCTCCCTATTTTTTATCATGTTTCATGTTTGAAATAGTAAATTGGGTAAATAATAAATAAGATAATATTAGTTAAAAATGTTTAACTTAATAACATAAAAATAAATTAGTATTATTTTGACTATTGTTTTCAATATAATGAGGTATATGATTTGATCCCAATTAAATAATCGGTTCAAGACTGGTACTAYGTGATTGTTTATTATTCATAATAATAGTTATAGTTATTTTATTTTAAAAAATATAACCTAATTTATTATTGTATCTCCCATGGTTTTTAAACCGCTGTTGACCCGGACGGTCAGACCCTTTGGCCCAGGAAGTGTTCAGGCAACCAATTCCGTTTTACCCCAAACCTGGTCCCTGGCAAAAAACCATTGAATCAATTAATGACCCGTTGACCCGGGTGGTCGAACTGTCGATTTGTCGATCCATTCAACGGTTTTTGGTCGTGCGTGTACGAGCACAATTTAGAGGGTGGCCTTAGGTTCCCTTTAGATAAAGGGCTAATGTAGATATTGGCTGAGCATAGGGTGTTTYCAATCCAATTAGTGTTAAACTCGTTTTGGTATTTGATAGGTTTATTGTGCTTTTGTACCATSCATGACCTGCCAATGACTTTCCCTTTGCTCCATACCCTCATATTCCTAAAGAAGTATGGGTAATCAGGGTTTTACAACTTCTCGGCTTGGCAAAACTTGAAGATACTTGAGGGGGCTTAATCTTCCATCCACAAGTGGAAGGGTAAGTGTTTCTTCATGAGTCATGATGACGGGATGGCCTCTTGGATTGAAACTGCTAACTCTAAAGACCAAAGTGAAAGCGCCCAAGCCCAAGACTTTGAATGACGAGGAAAGGGAGGCCTTAGGTAGGATGGCCAGTCTTTGGAT